ATGAGAATTCTTAACTTGGGATATGTAGATAACTTGCTGTACAACTAGTATGCATGCATTTATATTAAATCTTTGTTAAACAAATTTTATTTCCATGCTCTAATTTCCATATACAGACAATGAGATAAGTTTACATTTCAATTTATATAGTAATAATTTTTACTGTGCTTTGTTTTTTCTTTAATTTCTTCATTTCAAAGATGACCTCTAGTGAAATATTTTTATAGAAAGCTTTTATTTAATAAATGTAACTTTTATAAGTACAAATATTTTAGATTATAGTGGTTCTTCTCCCAATACCCACCCTTCTACCCCCAAACCACCCCACCTCCTACTCCCGCTCCCATCTCATTCTTCATTAAGATTCATTTTGAATTATCTTTAAATAGAGATCAACTCTATATTAAGTAAAGATTTCAACAGTTTGCACCCACACAGACACACAAAGTATAAAGTACTGTTTGAATACTAGTTTTACTGTTAATTCTCATAGTACAACACATTAAGGACAAATGTCCTACACGGGAAGCAAGTGCACAGTGACTCCTGTTGTTGATTTAACAATTGATAACTCTTATTTATGATGTCAGTGGTCATCCGAGGCTCTTGTCATGAGCTGCCAAGGAAGCCTCTTGAGTCCACAAAGTCCAGCTTTATTTAGACAAGGCCATAATCAAAGAGGACGCTCTCTCCTCCTTCAGAGAAAGGTACCTCCTTCTTTGATGGCCCCTTTTTTCCACTGGGGCCTCGCTCATAAAAATCTTTTATGTAGGTCACTTTTTGTCACAGTGTCTTGGCTTTCCATGCCTGAAATGCTCTGCCTTAAGGGCTGATTAACACAGAATTATTCTTAGGTGTTTAAATCCAATTGAAAATTGATCCCTGTCAAAAATAATAGTGGGAATAAGAGAGGGAGGAGATGTACATTCCGACACACGTTCTCTTGGACTTACCCCTAAGGGTAAAGCTAAAATCTTGCCATAGGACTCCAAATCCCATTAAGTTGGTAGGTACCAATGCCATCTTACTAGGTAAAGTGATTGGTTTAAGTTCAAAACTGATCATAAAGATAGGATTAAGTGCAATGTTTAATAGGATCACAGCAGTTGAAGATACAAGAAGAAATTTGACATTTGATTAAATTTTTATGTGTGAACTTCTTTACCATTAGATCATCTTTAATTAAATAGGAGAATTTACAAGAGCATTCAGCTTTTATATTACCATTAGAAAATGCTGACACTTAGAGAATATCTCTGGTACATTCTCTAGGTGCATTATTATTTATAATAATTGCATACTCTGCAATTTTTTCTCTATTAATTGCTTCCATGTAAGTGTCAATGTCAACATGTATCAGCATTAACTGTCCTAAAGATATTGAGTAACACTTAAATGCGCTTAGATGTAACAGTTAACTTGAGCATCAACTTATATTTCATCACTTTTATCTTCAATGACTTTCAAAAATGCAATGCTTTGTGTCTCTGAAATGAATTAGCCAATGCTCCATTAAGTATGACAACATGAACTATACATAAATGGTCTTCAAAAAAGTTAAGAGAAAATGTGTATTATGAAAATTCTATTCATGGATTTCAATTTTCAGCACTAATATAAATATCTTCTATTTCATGGTGATCTACATCTTGAAACGTTTAACTCAGGAAGGTCATATGATACTATTTCAGATGTTTAAAATATTGACAATGTAAAAGGAATTATATTTTACCTGTTTGAATAGATGGGACAACTGAGGTCATTATGAATTATAGAGGGAAAGAATTTGATTAAGATAAGTAGAAATTTAATATGATTGATTCTTTGTCCAAAATCAAATGACTACTCACATGATAGCAAGGTCCTTTCTGAAGAGCAGATACCTGATTATTGCAAAAAAGGAGATTCATCAAGCGAAGAGTGATAGTTTTAAGTGTTTACTAAAATTTTAAGTCAAATATTTTTATTTTTATTGACTATTTTATTAGCATTTCTCATGTATTATTAATACTAAATGATATGTTCATCAAATAAAATGTCACCTAGCCTACATTTTGCTGAAAAACAATACCAATTGACTATTTACATATAAAAATGTAGGCCATTATCAAAATTAAAATATAATAAACAAAATGCAGTAAATGTTTCAACAGACTCTTCTAACAGCATGTTGAAATGCATGGACTTACACTAAACAATACTTTTTATCTCCCTTAAAGAAATTTCCAATTATAAAATCATGTTTTCATGTATGAAGGCAGGCTCTGTAGAAAATTGTTCATGCCCTTGGAATTGACTTTTCTGGAGACTATAAAAATTCATAATGGCTTTCTTTTCAGATTAAGTTTGTGTCTTAAGAAATGTAGTGTATAATATTTGTCAGAGGTTATAAGAATAATCCATAGTTATAAAGCAAAGTAAGTAAACCTATAAAGTGTCACAAAGGTATTGAACACATGGCTTTAACTTCCTTTGCTCAGTGGTCTACCAAACATTCTAACTGCAACATGTTAAGATTATATAAAATAATTTCATTTATTAAGCCTCTGATTCAAGCTGCAAAAAAATTTACATTCTAATTTTCTAGTTATCTAGGTTTCTGCAAACGACATACTATTAAAAACCAAGGGGAAAGGTCTGCCTTAAGGTTATACATCCCATAGCTCTTGATAATATTCAGTTTCCAAATTGAAATAACTTAATTACATTCTCTAAGGATCCATTTTCAGAGTAGGTGCAGCTGTTGCATTTTCTTTTTTAGAAAGACAATTATAATTACAGGCAACTTGCTTAAGAAGATGGAATTAATAATGCATTACAATTTTAGAGAAACAGTGAGAATAAAATGTTGGTTAGTGTAAGAAAATAGACAATGACAGACCTACAGACAGCAAGTTATTGTGTGTGTATATTTTGTCACATTTTGGAGATAGCAACTGTAAGATAATCTGTCAAGAAAGTAACCTAGCAATTATTAAATACAAAATGCTGTCAAAATCAGACATAATATTTAGCAAGAATATCACAATATCCTAGCAAGGAGGGTATATGTAAACCAATAATTACAGAGAGGTTCACAAACATAGGTAAAAATATATATTTGGAAAGATATAGGAGGAGAAGATTGATTCAGCGCCTTAAGGGAAATGCTTCACAGTTCAGCTATCTTAAATTTTTAATTAATTAGAATGGCAACACTAGGGAGCATTGGAACTAAAATTGGACAGTATTTCCAAAAGAGGACACTATCAAGAACTGTGAAGGGTCACCAATTGTATACCATTTGTCTGCTAACAAGAATTTTTCTACGTTTTAAAATATACAGAAGAATATGTGGACACCTAGGACAAACAGCTTTATTAATCATGGTATAGCAAGCATGATGAACCTCAGGTTTGTACCAGTTTCCCTCACCCCAGTTTTCACAGGCTATCATTTAAAGGACAGAGTAACACCTGCATGTGTATTAGGTTGCATTACAGGAGAGAAACCATGAGTCTATAACGAACAATAAGAATTGCCTGTCCAATCCTCTAGAGTAAATCACTGGCTCGTTAATCAAAGGCTATGAGGATATCTTCCCTCTAAGGAAGGTAATGTCTTCATATGCCAAGGCTGTTGTGTGGGGCTTGTGGGAGAGGGGGTGACCTTGAGAAGATAGCCTGGAAAGAAGGAAGCCATTGACTTATCTACTTACAAAGATGCATAGAAAAGAGGCAATGAAGAAATGTCTCCAAAATGATAACTGTAAGAGATCTAAGAGATAAGAGAGTATGAAGTATTTCAAGAAACCAGAGAAATCTTAGAATAAATGTTAGTATGTTCTTTGTTTCAAAAAAGAAAACTCTTGAGAAATTAACTGATTAAGAAGAGCTTGTCATATCATATTAATACATTTGAATTATATTCTGAATTTTAATTGAGGAAGAAAGGACCACTGAATGATTCCAAACAGGGAAGTAATGTAATTAGACTTACAACTGGAAGTGTAATTGGCTGTTGAGTGAGTGAATGTGAAAAAGGATAATAGCTCAGAATCTGTGAAAATTAGGTACCTAAGAATGACAATAAAAATAAGAATCAGTCAAACTGCACTGTTATTAAGGATTAGAATTCAGTTTAACTTACTAGGACATCTTTGAAATCTGAAAATCAGAACCAAGTTGAGATAAAGAGATGAGGAAATTGAGCATGACTTAATGGTTTCTTGATTCTAAATGAAACAAAGAATATAGGAAAAAGTGGAGTTTGATGGAAAAAATCATTTAGTTGTTTAAATATTGAATTTATGAGGGACAAAGTTGGTAGAATATATTTATTTATTTATTTATTTTTTAACTTTTATTTAGTAAATATAAATTTCCAAAGTACAGTTTATGGATTACAATGACTCCTACCCCCCAACTTCCCTCCCTCCCGCACACCTCCCATCTCCTGCTCCCTCTCCCATTCCATTCACATCAAGATTCATTTTCAATTATCTTTATATACATAAGATCGATTTAGTATATATTAAGTAAAGCTTTCATCAGTTTGCACCCACACAGAACATAAAGTGTAAAAATACTGTTCCAGTACTAGTTATAGCATTACTTCACATTGGACAACACATTAAGGAAAGAGATCCCACATGAGGAGTAAGTACACAGTGACTCCTGTTGTTGACTTAACAATTTGACACTCTTGTTTATGGCAACAGTAATCTCCCTAGGCTCCAGTTATGGGCTGCCAAGGCTATGGAAGCCTTTTGAGTTCGCTGACTTCTATCTTATTTAGACAAGGTCATAGTCAAAGTGGAAGTTCTTGCCTCCCTTCAGAGAAAGGTACCTCCTTCTTTGATGACCCGTTCTTTCTACTGGGATTTCACTTGCAGAGATCTTTCATTTAGGTTTTTTTTTTTTTTTTTTTTTTTCCAGAGTGTCTTGGCTTTCCATGCCTAAAATATTCTTATGGGCTCTTCAGTCAGATCTGAATGCCTTAAAGGCTGATTCTGAGGCCAGAGTGCTGTTTAGGACATCTGCCAGTTGATGAGTCTGCTGTGTATAAGATATATTGATATCTTTTATAAATATATATTTATATTTTATGTTTTAGAGTTGAGAATTATACATGAAGCAGTAGGAGTAGTTGAGATCAAAGAAAATAAGTGGACATCGATTCATGACTAGAAAATTGAATATAATAGATACAAAAATAATTTACCTGGATAAAAATAAAAACTGTATTACCTGGACAAAAATAAACACTGTATATGAAAAACTCACAGATAAACTGATAACCATTGGTGGAAAAATTAAAACCTTTCTTCTAATATCTGATATCGGACAATGATGTCTGTTATCACTACTAATAAATGTATTACTGAAAGCTGTTGCCAGAGCAATTAGGTTAAAAAAAAGGAAATGCACCTAAAGCAGAAAGGATGAAATAACTTAACTTTATTTGCAGATATCATGATTCTTTATAAAGAAAACCCTAAAAACAAATAAACTGTTAGAATAAAGTTATAGGATACAAAACCAACATACAAATATCAGTGATGTTTCTATACATGGATAACAAACTATCTGAAAAGGACACTAAGAAAACAACCCCCTTTTACAATAGCAACAAAATAAGAAAGTACATAGGAATAAATTTAATGAAAGAAGTGAATGACTTATACTGAAAATTATAATTATAAAAAAAGGATAGACATAAATAGAAATATATATTGTTTTCATATATTTGAAGAATCAATATTTTAAGATGTCAATACTACCTGAGTGATAATGCAGATTTAATGCAAGCCTTACCAGAATCCAATGTAATTTTCACAGATGTAAAAGCATCTCTAAAATTCATATGGAACCACAAAAGACCCTAATTCCAAAGATTGCTTTGAATAGAGAAAGTATATTGAGTAAGAAGAACAAGGTTGGAAGTATCAAACTTCCTAGCTTCAAAATATTTTACAAAGCTAAAAGTAACCAAAACAGCATGGTGGTAGTACGAAAACACATATATGGACCAATAGAGCAGAACAGCGAGCACAGAAAATAAATCCACATTTTTGTAGTCAAATTTTCATCAACAAGGTAGCTAAGAATACACAATGGGGAAAGTCTCCTTAATAAATGGTGTTAAAAAACCAAAAATCCACATGGAAAAGAATAAAATCTCACACCGTATACAAAATTCAACTCAAAAATGAATTAAAGACTTAACCATAAGACTTGAAATCATTAAAATGACTAAAAGCAGATAAAGGCAAAAAATGCTTCTTGATTTTGGTCTCAGTAATTATTTTTTGGGTACAACACCTGAAGCACAGGCAAAAACAAATAACTGGGAAAATACTGAACAAAAGTTTGTGCACATCAAAGAAAATTAATAATAATAGTAGTAATAAACCAAAGAATTAGATTTGCTGGTTAGCATGCTGGCGTCCCACATTGGAATAGCTGAGTTTTATTTCCATCTCCAGGTCCTGACTCAATCTTCCTATCACTGTAAACTCTGGGAGAAAGCAGTATGATTGAAATTATTGTGTTCCTGCTATTTATGTAGGAAACCTGGACTGAAGTCCTGGCTTATGGCTCAGGCTCTGGCCCAGCCTCAGCCATTGTGGGCATCTGGGGAGTGAACCAGAAGATGGGATCTCTGTTTACATGTATGTTCTTTTCTGCATCTCATTTCCTCTCAAATATACAAAACTAATTTAAATTACTTTTAATAAAAAGTAACCTTCAGAATGGGGGAAATATTTGTAAAATTAAATAAGAATATCTCAAAAAGTTCAAGGATATGGAATTAATGGAGTGAAACAAATTAACCATAATACTTCAGTGGCTTATTAAATAATGGTTTGTCACTTATAGTCAGCTGCATGGACATGTCCTCTCTTAGGCAACTGTTTTTTTGAACAGTGACTCAGGGATCTAGTTTGTTGCTACCTTGTATGCACAATTACAGCCCATAGCATCTAAGCTTGTAAAGTAGGGCAGGAGTCATAAAAGGACTTTTTACTGCTTTAGATGAAAGCAGCACTAGTCTCCCATTATCAATCTTTTGGCTTGAACTAGTCAGATGAAGCTGCCTACTTTCTGGAGGGCAAGAAATTGCAATGTTCAATGTGTACAAGAAGGAGAACCTTGTGTTTATGAGAGCCTACATCAGCAGGAAGCTAGATGAAGGGACAGAGGCAGCTATAGAACACAGAGACTCTGATATGGGATGTCCATAGGTCAAATGCTGATAGGTCAAATGCTCACTCCCCAAAATCTCCTGTTTAAGTTCTGTGATTGTAAATGGTGAGAGCTAATTTTAAGTAATTTTACTATATATTTTTCTTTAATAAAGTTCTGTTTGACTTCAGGTGACAAAAATGATTTATAGTGACTGTAATAAACAGGAATGTATTATTCTTATATAGCAACTGGTACAGAGTGGGCAGTACAGAGTTGATATAATTCTCAAATTGCAGTGTTGTTTCCTTCTTTCCAGCACTTTCCTTGTACACATTGAATATGAGTTCCTTCTATCAGCATGGGGGACCTGGATTCAGTTTCCAGCTGTCAGCTACAGCCCCTATCACAGAGGTGTTATAGGCACTTAGGGAGTGAACTAGCGCATGGGAACTCTCTCCCTCTCTGTGTCTCTCTATCAAATAAATAAACTACAAGTAAAAAACATAAAATAAACATTAAGATTTTAGTTCAAATCCCATATTACTAACATAAGACTGAGTAGACAGGAACAGCACCAGAACTCAATGGCCACTGAATGAAAATGGTATAGCATTCCACTGTGGAACATTTCCACCCTTGGAGACAGTGGAACTCAGAGGTTTGCTATGTTATACTGTGTTTGTTTTCTTCACTGTCGGATCAGAGGACTGCCTAGGACAAAGTAGGCATATATTTATACTCTAAAATACTGGGTGGCATTGTGATTTTATGCCAAGTTTAAAATAGCCTATTCTAGAGTACAAAATTAAAGCCCATTCCAAGGCAAATTAGGAAATAATAAAATGTGTTTTATTAGGTTTTTTTGGGGGGAGGCAGGGAGTTAAATATCTACCACAAAATCTTTTGTTTTATATCCCTTTTATTTGCTTCTTTGTTTGAGACCTTAGTTAAGCTGTTTAACTACTCAGTCACTGTCTACTTATGTAATAACATAACAGTAGTGAGACCCACAACATAGCTGTTAAAATTTTGGTGTATGTTTTTCTTGCTGCAATTTTTTCTCCATTTACACTTTATTACTATTAGATTTGCCAGCCACCAAACAACAAATGGTGAGAGCATCAACAGTCAAATAGAAAATAAATTGTGGTTTTTGTTTGTTTGTTTTTTAATAACTGGGAAAGCCCATGTTGCTTAGTGAAATGAAGAACATTTTCAGACTCCAGGGGTTTAGTTCTGGAAGTCCATCAGGACCTCTTAATTTGTACTTCCACAACGCAATACTATTGTTTTGGGAAATGTTGTCATTTGACTTTTTAACAAGGCTGACAAAAGATGATGGTTGTCACAGTGCTAAGGGCAAGGTTTGTTTATCACAAAAAAATAAATAGGGAGATTATGAAAACTGATCTGGGTTGTTTTAAGTCACTGTGAAATGGCCCAATAAATGGCTTTGAGTCTAACCAATCAATCACAATTAGCAACATTTCTCTCATGCAGGGGAACTAAAATTAAGTGAGAAATATCCATAAAATGAATATAGTAATGCCTACTTTATGGCTATGGGGATTCTATAATGATGAACTAAGTAAGTGTGAGTAGTATATTATAGGATCAATTATGTTTCCCAAAGTTCATATGTTGAAATCCTAGCCCCAGTGTCTGTGAATGTGATCTTCCTTAGGAAACGTCTTTTAGGTTATCAAGTTAAAGTGAGGTCATTAATGTGGGCCCTAACTCAATATTACAAGGTAATCATAAGAGGAACATTAATCATTACTAAAAATCACTAGAATTTAAGGAAGAATCATGCAGCAAATTCTTCCTAACAGTCTACAGAAGGAGCTGACACTGTTGACACTTTGATCTTGGATTTCTAAACTCTATAAATTGAGAAAATAAATTTCAGTTGTTTACACCACACAGTTTGTGGTAATCTGTTAACACGGCCTCAGCAAGCCAAGGCAGATTCTAAGAGGAAGTGATTTCTCTTCTATGGGCCAAGTAAAAATGTGGAGAGAAGCTCTCTGTGCAGATTAGAAGAGATAGAAGATTTTAGCAAAATATGTTACACATAGTAAGAAGGAAATAGTGTTGCTATTATCCATATTTTGGTCTTGGCTTTGTTGTAAGCACAATGGTTCAGACAATTAGAACCATACCACCTTGCTTTGAATCCCAGATCCACCACTTTCTAGCTATGAGTTTGGACAACTTGTTCAACTTTTTCTCACTTCAGTTTCCTTATATCTGAAATAAGCATATAATGTCAATATTGTGGGAATATAGGATTATATAATGAAGAGTTCATTATGGGTCCACTTTGAATCCTCAATACTTTAGCTATTATTTTTAAAATTTTCATTAGGGAAATATCTCCTTTTGCTAAGGAGTCACATTACAATTCATTACATTTTCCTTTCAAATAAAGATTATTTTTGAAAATCTACCAAAAATTTTAACTTACTCTACTGCACAGTTGGAGTGTTATACAAAATTTATTATAGGTAGTATTTAGTTTTTTTCCAGAACAAGATTTCACATGAATGGTTTGTTTTAGAATACTGGAACACCTCACTGAACAATAATTAAAGTAATGAAATTTTATTCTAAGCACCTAAATCAGTCTGTTGTAGTCAATTAGCTGTCCATAGAAGTGCAATTATGTTTCAGACCACAAGGGCATATTTAAGCCACTACAGCAGAATGTTACCCTGGTGATTTTAGGATAGTGCTGCAGGAGATTCACTCAGGCCATTTATTATCATGAAGTTAAAGAGCCCTATTAACTTGTTCAGACCATAAGCACACCAAGTATTATACTAGCATTATTCCTGGGTGCTGAACCTGACTGAAAAAAAGAAACAAAAAAATGTTTTAATATTGGAGAAGCAGCAAAAATAAATACATTTTTCAGTGTTGCTTCTTGCTATAACATTTTCTGTGAATTTAAAAATATTTCAGTGTCTAGCCATCCAACTTTGCTAATAACGCATGCAACTAAGACGAAATTTGCATTTTCAAGCTTTATATGAATTTCAGAACTTCACAACTTTACAGATGTGAGCATTCTTCTTAACCCCAAATGCCTATGCCACATTTTCAATTGATACTATTCTGGTCTCAGAAGAGATTGTTGATTACTGATGGTCATCTCTTGAGGATCTACTCTTTTATCTGAAGTAATCTTGTATGTCCAGCATAAAGCTACACTCTTCTATAAATTTTGCCAACTTTATACAGTTTGATTCTTAGACATCATTGATAACAGTAAGTTGCCATGTTTCCTCAGACATTTGTATATTTGTAGATCATAACCTATTAATGTTTCAGCATGCTCTGTGTTTAACCAGCATTTCCTCCATTAAAAAAACCACTCTATTTAAATTATATAGATAATATCTAAATATGATAATTATATAAATAGATACACAAAGATGCTGGAAAAAGGTCATGGAAACAATATCATTTTGGTACAAAAATTACTTCATTTTAATTTTATTAATATTAGTTTCTTACTATAGGGCTTGATAGTGCTTTAATCTGTTTATTATTGATCCTACAATCAATATTACTGTTACTAGCTTAATATTCAGGGTGAAGTTTAAAAGGAAATTAGAAATTTCCACATCATCATTTTTCCATAGCACTTGACTTCCCAGATAAATACTTGGAGCAAAAGAAGATTTTAAGTTTCACTTTTCAGTTAAGTTTCATGGCAGATGTCCTAAACAGCACTGTAGCCTCAGAATCAGCCCTTAAGGCATGCGGATCCGGCTGAAAAGCCCATGAGACTATTTCAGGCATGGAAAGCCAAGACACTCTGGGAAAAAAAAAAAAAAAAAAAAAAAAAAAAAAAAAAAAAAAAAAACCCTAAATGAAAGATCTCTGCGAGTGAGATCCCAGTGGAAAGAATGGGTCATCAAAGAAGGAGGTACCTTTCTCGGAAGGGAGGAGAGAACTTCCACTTTGACCATGGCCTTGTCTAAATATGATCAGAGTCGGTGAACCCAGGGGGCTTCCATAGCCTTGGCAGCTCATGACAAGAGCCTAGGGTGATTACTGAGGCCATAAACAAGAGTGTCAATTTGTTAAGTCAACAACAGGAGTCACTGTGCACTTACTCCTCATGTAGGATCTTTGTCCTTAGTGTGTTGTACATTGAGATTTAATGCTATAACTAGTACTCAAACAGTATTTTTCACTTTATGTTTCTGTGTGGAAGCAAACTGTTGAAATCTTTACTTAATGTATGCTAAACTGATCTTCTGTATATAAAAAGAATCGAAAATGAATCTTGATGTGAATGGAAGGGGAGAGGGAGTGGGAAAGGGGAGGGTTGTGGGTGGGAGGGACGTTATGGGGGGGAAGCCATTGTAATCCATAAGCTGTATTTTGGAAAGTTATATTCATTAAATAAAAGTTTAAAAAATTATAATTAAATAATTTTAATGGAAATGTAATATTGATTATAAGTGGGGAAATTGATGGAATGATAGTAAATACATGATTTCTTTAAATGGATTAAAATGGAAAATTTGTTTACCAAAAAAAAAGAAGATTTTAAAAAATTGGAATTTTCTTTTTATTTACTTGCCTTTCAAGATGCCGCAAATACCAATGTTGGCCCAATAGGGAATCCAAAAATGATCTTTCAAGATTCACCCTTTGATATTGGCTCACCAAACAAAAGTTCTTCTTTCCCATTAGAAATTAACAAAATGGAGTAATCCCTATCCCACTCTTGCCCCAATTTACTGTGGAACAGCATATCAGTATGATTTATCTTAATTATGTCCTATTTTAGAATTTGAACCAACATGGCATCTCTATTTTCCAGTCCTACTTTCTCCAGACAGTCTACTATTTTGGATGACCCTTGCCAACAGGTCTTGTTCTTATACACAAAATTTGTTTGTCCTCAAGAAGAAACCATAGATGTGGCCTAACTGTGACATTTACCAGCATTTTTTTTCCTTCTAAACTCTACATTCAAAGCTTTAAAATTGTCACTACAATCCCTAAATAATGTAAAATGAGCAGCTGAAATTTAGACTTGGCTATTCTATCACTAACCATTAAGCTACTGTATAATACAATATGCAGAACAATGGAGTTCATTTTATTTATTTTTTATTTCTTTGTTTTTTCCTGGGTCTACTTTTTTATTTTACTTTTTCATTTTACACATCTATCAGCAAAAATATTTTATGTATGCACTGCCAATATGGTAGTATGTTTCTTTATCCACTTATATGAATATATATATTATAATATATTAATATAGTACACAATATAAGATGTAGTCCTATTATACTAGTTTTTCAGGACATAGAACTATACTAACAGATACCAATACTAACATATCATTTTTATTTTGCACATGCTGTGGAGAGTACTAGACTCTAGGTATTGTGCACTTAATTCATAACTTCAGCTACTCATGCTATAATGTCTACTTACCTTCACTGACATCCTAACGGAGGGTCTGAAGGAATGATATGAATACCAGACAATTAAGAAGGACTATTTCTGTTTCCCATCCCTTGTCTCTGCTTTGGACTTTAATGAACTGAAAGGCCTTTTGCTGTACTTGGAACTTAAAATAGCAAGGTACATCTTCTTAGGGCCAATATTACATCTTTATGGTCACAAATTAGAGATGATCTCACAAATAATTTATCTATAACTTATTTATTGCCAAATATAATAGTTAGTATA